ACTGTATAACCACATATAATGGTAGTTTTTTTCTCTCTCCATTTTCTTCCTATCTGATCTTTATGCTAAGATATATTTTCTGTAAATACTGCAGTGTGCTGGATGGAGAAACTGAGGAGTTTATAAACAGATGGCATGGTGGAAGAAGAGAGCAGAAATTCTTCTTAAGTTATGCTTCAAATGTTGTTACCATTGAGATCACTGATATCTGTGTCAATATGTGTCCCCTCTTTATCTCTCTCTTTCATTTATTTTGTCCCTCTTTTAGGATAAAGGTCTTGGAGTTTCTATAGTGTTTTTACACATTTGTTGATGTCACTTTTTCAATAATAATTCTTATTATTAAGAATTATCATATTTCTTATTTTTATATGGTGTCATTCTTTCTGGGGATGGGGGGGGGGAGAGCATGTGTGTGTGTGTGTGTGTGTGAGAGAGAGTGAGACAGAGAGAGAGAAAGGAAACTTAACTTGCAATCAGAGTCACAAGTGTGAACAGTGTGTTAAAGAGAGTGCAAAACCACAAGAAACCACCACACAAACAGCATGCTTTTTGTTTAGTTTTTTCCAAATCATATTGCTTACTAGCTGAGTTAAATACGGATTTAAAATCTGTTTTTGAAATCAAATCTTTGCATAGCTATGACAGGAAACACTGGAATCTAACAATGCTTTGGGAAAATAAAACAGTTATTCTTTTTTAAAAAATCAAAGCATATACATAAACCCAAATTAGAAATAAAACAGTTATCAAATAAGCATATTTATTCTGTGTCCTAAACTGAAACATTGGTGTCTCATATTCTAAAGCATGATTTGATTATCAATGATTTAAATCAATCATAATCTGTATGTGTGTGAAAATGTTCAGATGTAACCCACCTTTGTAAAATTAAAAATTTTCATAACTAATTTAATTACACATTTTTTCACAGTTACATTTATTTTGTAATTAAATTACGTCATTCCTTTACATGTAACTAGTTGCTGCAAACGCAGTAAACAGATGCATCATCGCTTACACAATATAACAGACATTTGCCCATTTTGTTTCATACAGTGGATTGTGGCTAGGAATATCTTCACGTAGCGCCGTTTTCCCCTGATTTTATTTTTATAAAGTAGCCCGTTTCGGTGAATGACATCAAAGTGAATCGCAAACACAATTTCAGATATTTTAAGACCGATTTGATCAATAGTAATTAATACACGAATCTGACGTTTAGTTTGGAGTTTAGTTTAAAAAAAATAAATAAATAAATACCTATGTCTTCACAGAACAGTCCACTTGGAGCACATATTTTTCGTCTGAAAATGTATTATATACAATATCCAGTAAAAACAAAAAAAAATGTTGTTGAAATATTATAAGGGTGCAAAATACATCAATAATGTTTATGAGATTTTAAACAACAGTTTTATTGTTTTTTTGTGAAAATAGTTCATAAACAGAGTTGACCCTTTAAGTAACAGAATTGTAAAGTAACAGAATTGTCCGATGGACTGTCAATTCTGTTACGCATTGTCAGCACTGTTACTCTACCTTGGTAACAGAGTTTGACTGTAACAGAATTGACAATTTTATTTATTTTTTGCCAAAAACTCCACTTGCTAGCATAAATGCTAAGAGCACATGGCACTAATGAAATCATGATTAAAATACGTTTAAATAACACAAAGTGTGATCAGTAATACATTCTGTTGTCCTTTTGATACTGTGGTAACAGTTTTGACATTTTATAAAATAACTTTTTAGAGATTAAAATGACTATTCCGAAAGGAAAGTTTATTAAGCATGAGAATCTAGAAGATATTAAAATACCATGAATACTTTCAGAGTTACAGGCATGCCAACTATAGAAAAATAATATGTATGGCACTCAGACATGTATGCTCTATGCAATTGAGCTGATAGACAAAAAAATGAGATACATTTCTAGTTTTAACATTATTTATTCTTTAAATATTCCTCTTTAAAAGAAAAGGTATCAGCTGTGTGTGAAGCGACCCACATTTGGTTTTTGATCACTGAAAATGTGTACAATTTACGAGTTTACTCATAGAGCAGCATTGAGATCTCCATATCTCTGGGACTGAACCATCAAGGAACTTTAAGGAACACAGGTTCCTCTAGAGGAACCTGTGCAAAATGAGGAAGAGATCCTGTATACTATGAAATGTTTATTTGGTCCTGAGGTTCAGAAGTACTTCATGATTCTGTTCACACACAAAGATGAGCTGGAGGATCTGGATGAGACCATTGATGAACATCTAAAAAAGCAAAACCATGCAGATTTCCAGCAACTGGTGACTGAATGTGGAGGAAAGTTTCACTGTTTCAATAACAAGAAAGAGGCATATGATCAGGTTCAAGCACTGCTGCAGATGATTGAAAGAATGATGGAGAAAAGTTTCACTGTTTCAATAACAAGAAAGAGGCATATGATCAGGTTCAAGAACTACTGCAAATGATTGAAAGAGAAAAGTGGGAAATTTATCATGAAACGCATGAGGAGGAGATCAAGCATGGATTCTGCTGGTGTCAGCTGTAAGATGATTTGCTGTTGTAAATTAATTCTATAAGACATGCAAGTAATTCATTAAGTGTAAAGCACTTATATATTTCATGCATGATTAATTAAGAGAATCTGCACTCTGATTTTAAAGGCCTTTCACACTGAGTGTGATTAAGTGATGCCAGTGTATGATGCAATGACACCCTTGAATCATTTGCAAGCTTGCAGAACTCTGTCTAACAGAAACACCTCTGATTGGCTAATAGTATTGACAGTAGGGCTATCAAAGTATTAACAGTAGGACTATCAGCTGAGTGGTGAGTTGCACCGCCTAGTGTGCTGTAAAATGCATTGTTAGGCAGTGCTACATATCGTGCAGGCATGAATTAGCCAATGGCGATTCATCGTCTAATGTTTGGTGTGAAAGCACCATTCATCAGCGATTCGCCTTTTTGCGTCACCCTCAGTGCGATAGGCCCTTCAAAAATGCAAGAATTTATTGAGAATATTGAGATTTAGTTAAACAGAAAATTGATGATTGGTCTTCCTGTGGTAGTTTCAGGAACGTCTCCATCAAAAGATCTTTTTTTTTTATAAAACCGTTTTATATGCTGTTTAACATTTTGTATTATATTGTATTATTCATTGCCACTGATGGCTTTTTAGAATGCTAATGTATTTTACACACTCTGTGCACTCATATACTATAAACACATGTCTAAAAGCTCTCCAATTACTGGAATACACTAAACTCATGTAAACTGGAGTACCTGTTTGAGGGATGGACATTTTAATATTGTGAGTACTCCGAATCAATCATATTTTCTTTCACAACCCATTAAAGGGTTAGTTTACCCAAAAATGAAAATGGTCAACATACAAATAAACACATTTTTAATAAAATGAAAGCTTTCTGTTCCTCCATTGACAGCCTACACAACTACAACTTTCAAGGTCTAGATTTGGATTTTAAATGTGAGTTAAGTTCAGAATTATGTGTTTGCATTGAAATTTGTTAAAGAAAATGACAAATCAAGCTGAACTCTCTAGATTTCTTAAATTCAGACGTACAAAGTCCTGCTAAACTCTACAGGAAGGAGCATCAAGTGAAGAATGGAGGATGTGTGTGTGTGTTTAAACTATAATATCAATACAATTCTTCAGAAATTGGGTGTTAAAAGGGATAATGTTTACAAAAATGATTACATCTTTCGTTGTAAAGCTGAATCTGATCTTCCCGGAGTTTCCTTGCCGGTCCTCAAAATGTCAGTCCCCACTTAAAGCATTCATAGTTTCAGATCTACTCTGTGTTCACGCCTTCACACTCTTTCTGTTCAATGGAAAAAACGAGCTGTAGCCTATTGCAAAATTACACCTAATTACAGCTACAGTGCTACAGTGCACATCATGAACGAACGTCTAGAAATACATTAAGATAGCGAGGTGACACTGATACAATGTTGAGTTTCTTGGTTCATCATCTTGCACTCAAAAAAATTGCTTGTTCAGTGAACTTAAATTAAAGTAAACTTTTCCACACTGTAAAAAATGATATGGTGAAAAAATCATGACAACTTATGTTTTTAAGTTACTTTAACACATGAAAATAATTTAAGCAATTTAAACTGTTTTATACAAGTTATACTAGATTCAACTTGATTTTTTAAGTCAGTTCGGTGTTATTGTAATTCAAGGAGCCCAATTTAGTTCAATGAACTTAACATTTTAAGTTCTAACTTATTGGGAGATTTGGCACTAACCGGCCAGATCTCTGAACATGGATTAATGCGCAGGAGTCAAATTTGAACATTAATTCAATTTCAGAATCCTTTCTACCAAGAAAAAAAACCTATTCAGCAAATCTAGAAATTAGATTTATGTTTAATACATAAAGACATCGCAGTGCAACATCAAACAAGGAGACACAAGACTATACAGTGAACTAACTAAATCGTGGAGGAATTTCAGACGAACAACATGAATTTGACGAAGCTGTTGGTTGGGCAGCGCGAAGAAGCATATTCAACATGTCGTGGATGAGGTGAATGCTTGTGTAACATGACTTTAGGGAGATTATTGTTAATTTTAGCATAGTGTTTTAGTTATGTTCTGTCATAGTTTTCTGAAGTGTGTTTACCTTTCAAGTTTTGCATTTGAGACGGTGCCAGCTGTGCTGTGCTGCATTAGCACTGCAGTTGTAATGTACAAGTCCCATTTGACACACATTTGTTTCTCCACCTGTTAAACATCGTTAAAATGGGCAATTTGAGCGATTATAGTTGTATTTTACCGTTAAAGTGCGTACCAGTTGGCTTTGCTGAGCAGGCTCGGCTTTTCCGCGCCTACTGCAAGTTTATCCTAACGTCAGTCAGGCCTCATGCGTATGAGTTGGGATTCGTTACTGAGTAAAGTAAGCGTAATTTTAACATTTTTATCAACCGTGCATAACTACAAGCTAGGATAATACATAGGTGAACTATCTAGACTAGAGGTAGATGACCATAGACATGGGCACGTCAACGTCGCCGCCATATTGCTCCAGGCAACTCTCCATAACTCTCATATCGGGACAGGAGAAAATATACCTGACTCGTCGGCAGCTTGGGGATCTACAAACCATCGCACAAGAATAAAAACAGATCAAGACAGCTTAATTGACCACCAGTGACAAACTATTAATAGTTAGCGATATCGCTAGTCAGCTGTGAAAGCTGAGACTTCATAAAAAAAATCATGAAGTTTAAATGAATTCTTATACCCCCGGTTTCACAAACAAGGCTTAAGCTAGTCCCAGACTAAAATGCATGTTTGAGCTGCCTCAACTGAAAATATCTTGCTCTGACGTATCTTAAAATATGTGTAGCGAATTTAGCTCACAACAGGAAATATGAATAATTAACCATAACTAGTTATAATTAACTATTCATATTTTAGATCCGCTGTAGATATTTAGCTGACCACTCAGGGTCAACTGTCTTGTCAATTCTAAGAACGTTAATTTCCTGGTTAAGGGAAATAACTTTCTTACTGTACAATTCTACAAAGCTTGTAGCGTAAATCTGCATGATTAGTGACTCCGGTTATGAGCAAACAATGAACACGTCAAGTGTGATACAAGAAAGGTTTTATTAACTACATAAACTGGTCTAACATCCTACATACACACATAAACTGGTCTAACATACACATACA